TCGGACTAAACTAGAACACAGGCTGGGGAGATGGCTCAGTGGGGAAGAACACTGGCTCTGGGTTCAGATACAAGAACCCACACAGAAAGCCAGGAGTGGCATGGTTTCTACTTCAAGCCCCTGCCTGAGTTCCTGTCCTAACTTCTCACAGTGAGGGACTGTGACCTGCAAGCTGAAATAATGCCCTTCCTCCCCCAAGGTGCTTTTGTTCTGAGGATATTGTCATAGCCACAGAAAAGGAAGCTAGAACATATCAAAAGGCTACATGGGAATTACATAAATAACTTGACTGCATCCATGACTTGTCTCTTAAACACATACTGTTTAGGTCCATGTATGTAGAAAGAGGTTGAGGGAAAAATCAGCATGTGGTTATAATTTTATTATAAGAATTCTTTAATTATATGCTGGTGAAGACCATTTGTCTGTTTTGATCATTGCTGGAATGATAGTAATGGAAAAAAATATGTTCAAACCTATCAATTGTAACTTTATTCTATCAGAAGCAGCCCCACCTAGATTTTGAACACAAATGTTTCATTTTTGTTATATATTCAAAGTGTATAATATGTACACAGGAGACGGAAGTTCTAAAATGCTGAGAAACACATGATAAGGCACAACTCATGCAATGACTATTATAACCAATAAAGTCAGGATTAAAATGAGGTTGTTCTGATTGAGTTATGTTATCCACTCCAAACCATATGACAAGGCCAAGATACTAATGGCTTTCTCATTTATATTTAATGCAGCAATAATAAATGGATCTAAAGTGAGGAGTTACTTATGCAGCGAATATGGGAGAAGGCTGTGTGGTACTTCTGTAAATGTGAATCCGTGTCTATGCAAACTCCACTGTCGGCCTTGATGAAATAATACAAGAAACTGTAGTTTTCAAATCAAAGGAAGGATGCATTACTCTTCAATCAGCACATGCCCCAACTTCTCCTTCTGGGTCTTCTCCTGCTCTTCCAATTGCTCCTGGGATACAAGCTCACAGCTTCCAATGAATCTGTCCAAATGTACCATCACTGTCGTATGTATATCTTCAGGTATGTCTTACAAAGTCCCCACAATTGAGTTATATACAGAACCACAAGACTGGAGAGTTGACTCAGTGGCCAAGAGCACTTGATGTGAAAGAATTTGCTGAATTCAATTACCCAATACCCACAAAGACCTGAGCATGGTATGCCTGTAACTCCAGTGTTAGGGAGTAGAGACAGGGCAGATCCCAGAAGCTCACTGGCCAGCCAGCCTAGCTAGAACCTCAAGTTCCAGACTATTGAGACCCTGACTCAAAAAAAATAAAATAAAATAAAATAAATTGACAATCTCATTTCTCTAGGACAATACCCATGAGCCCATAGAAGCAGGGCTGCCTGAGACCTGCCTTCCTAGCTAGAGATAGATGCTCAGCTGCCTTGGCCCTGCAGGCTATGAACCCGACTCCTCAGCAGCAGGAAGCTAGGATAACCAGATGTGGCTCTCTGAATTCCAGCTGTTCCCAAAGCCAAGGGAGAGTCAAGGCCTTGCCTAACTCTTTCAGTCAGATTTCCCTGATCCCTTTTTAAAATTAAGGGTATTTTCCAAATTGGAGGAAGAGGGCAGCAAATTAGAACAAAAAGCAGAAGTCTATGCATTCCCTCACTGCTTCCACTCCAGATGTGCGGTACTAGGGGTATCTGGAGGCATCTGAACCATGTTATTTTCTGGTATTTTGGCCTCTTTAGCCTGATTTTTTTTTTATCTTTAGTATGAAGCCATTTCATACTTTTTGGAATCTGAGACAAATTCCTAAACAAATGTCCTAGGAGGTGGGTGTGGGCGGATGCTGGACAGAATGCAGAATCCACTCAGCCTTGGAAAGCTTTCTGGTCTGCTCCCTGATGGTTATCCACACAGCTGGGAGAGTCTGCTTCTCTGAACCAGGAAGCTTCTTCCAGACAGGGCCACAATGACCCTATAATGTTAACGAGAAGATAAACGCTTACAACACTTTGTTCCAAGGAAGAGTCGGGCAGCAGGCATATCACTTGAGAAGTCACCTTTGGTGTCATCATGCACCTGGCCATGGTACTGGACAAAGAAATGCATCAATGACACGTCAGTTATCAGTCGCACTGTCCTCAGAAGAGATGGTGACACGGGTATGTGGAGGGTAGATATGGAAGGTTACTGCAAGCAGACCTTTTCAAAGAGCAAACTATGAAAACACAGGGCAGATGGATGCCTGAGTTCCCAGAGCTCAGAAAAGGTACCATGGAGATTTTTAATCTCTTCAAACACCCCAAGAGTGTCAGTTCCCTCATCACTCAGTGGGCTACTGGTGCCCACACTCACCTCCCCTAAGATCCTGATTCCGAGTACAGACCTCCCTTTCAGGTGCCATCACTAGCCTTAGTTCTCTTCTTACTGCAAGGTCTCAGCCCCCACTGTGAGCAGACTCCTCATCTCTCCTGCTTGCCAGCTGTTTCAGTCTCTCTTGTTTTGTCCCTCTCGGTCCAGCAAACAGGGATTCAAATCCTGACCTATGGTGTGCCCCCACTTCTCCAGCTGGGCCATCCAGCTTTAGCCCAGCTCACTGCAACAGGAATATGAGACAGCTGTCACAGTGCATCTGCCATACGGAAGCAGAAAGAGATGAATATAGTGACAAGTCAGCTTCCACCTTTTTGTACAGTTCAAGACCTCGGCCCATGGAATGATGCCACACACACTTTAGGGTAAATCTGTCTGTCCCAATAAACCCGACCTAGAAACACCCTCATGGCTGATTCCAGAACCTGTCAACTTGACAGTCAATATTAACCATCAAAGTGGGTGACCTGTCTTCTTAGATCACAAAGAAACACAGCTGCAGGCCAGCACACTTCTTCCCAGTACCACGTCATAGCCACAGAGCCACCACACAGCCTTCCCTCAGTAAGCCCGGGCGCCTCCTAACCAGAGACAAGAGTGGTCACGGCTGCCTCTGTGGGGCATGCTCATGATGTCACTAGACTCAGTCACTCCCCCTGGCATACAGACCAGGGACAATGTTTCCAACTAAAAATAAATAACTCTTCTGACCTTTGCACCACACATTCTGCTCTTCTTGCAGTAACGCCACTCAGAGCAGTTTCCAATTGTCTCCATCATTCCTGCCAGCATTGTCACAGCGACCAGAGCAAACCACTGCACAGACACCACCAGTGACGCAGATGGCTCGGATCCCAGCATCCATTGCTTCTCACCTCACCAGGCCCATGAGCACGTGGACACGCTCCTTGGTAACTGCTTCTGAAAATGCCTTCAAGTGGTCAGCCCTTGCGTCTCCTTCCTTCCTTGCTGTCCCCTCTGGAGACAGCCCTTTCCTGGCCAACCCTCCATTCATGCTTTTCATGAAGTTGGAAGATGCCACAACTCAACTTTGAAATTTTTTCCCATACTGGGCATCGCATATCTTATTACTTCAAGCAGTGGCCACTGGTCAGAATCCCATTCTTTCCATCTCAGTGTGAATAACCTTTTAACATAGGTTCTGGGGACAGTGGCCAACACGGCATCCCCACTAGGCTTTCCCGTAACCATCACAGTTTCAGCATGCCTACAAAGGAATGTTCTAGCCCTTTCTGAGTCCAAACCTTCTCCAGCCAGTCCTTTCCCTTAGTATCTTTATAATGTTTACAAGCCTTCCCATTTTTCTCATGATGTCTTATGGGATTTATCTTTAAGATATACCCAGTGAGTTTTCACTTTTCTTCAGTTCTTCTGTGCCTGGGAAATACACTGCCATTTCGTTTTGTCTTAATGCCATCACAATTTCTTTAAGTGGTCTCAGGAACAAGATTCTACTTCTCTGCCCTTCACCCTCTGTGTCTAATTCCTATCACAGTCAACAAAATGAGTCTACTCAGGTAGAATTCAGATTCCCTTTATCCTCTACTTAATTAAAACTGCACAGGTTTCCCATGATGCAACCTGAAATCCCTGAATGGGGGTGGGGAGGTCATGCCCAACTACCCAGATTCCTGCCATCTCTGGACCTAGCTTGACTCTGGCTGGCTTTCTCAAGCTCCCTACAAGACACCCCGTCCTCCATGGAGGTCCTGCAAGCTGCCAGGATGCACTGCTTTCAGGCCTCGGTGACCTCAGGTTCTCTCAACAATGTTCTTGCAAAGGTGCTAATTAGTTAATGCTCGTAGCTCCTTGAAGTTCAAGTTCAAATCCCACCTACATGAGCCTAGCGCAGTGGCACATGCTTGTAATCCCAGCACTCAGGGAGGCAGAGACAGGAGGATCTCTATGAATTTGAGGCCAGCTTGGTGTACAAAGTAAGTCTAGGACAGCCAAGGCTACACAGAGAAACCCTATCTCAAAAAAACCAACCAACCACCCAACCAAAACAAAACAAAAACAAAAAGAGAACAAAAAATCCTGCTATATGTATACTTTTAAAGCTTCCCCTACATTTCCCTGCATCTGTGTCTTGTCAGCTATCATATTTTATTTCCTCACACCATCAGCTGTACATGGTCTCTCCCCATGGTTGTTCCCACCCCATCTTCACACTTCTGCCTGACAAACAGCAAGAGCCAGTACCGGTGCTGTTGTGTTGATGGCAAGTTCTGAGTTATTAGAGCACCATGCACACATGAGAACTTATTCCTTATGTTGCCAGAGTGTGAATGAACACAGGAGACCCTCCCCCCGATGATTCAAATAAGTGACAATAGCCTTCTGAACCTGTCACTAAGCTCCAGCATGAGAATAGCAACATCATTCTCACACAGTGAAAACAAGCAGCCAAAGAGAAGTCTGTTAAATGCATAAATTTAACAGTCGGTATCTACAACACTCCCTAAAAGTCATCTAGGAGAGCCCTGCTAGGAATTCACCTACACCCTTCATTTACGAGGGGTAGAAAATTCTATTTAGGCAGTCCAACTGTCAGACATTGATAGTAAGAAGTAAGAAAAGGTCTCTAAGCCTTCCTTTCTGGGGTCCAAAGGTACCTGTGAGGAAGGCAGTGGTGAGGAGAGGTGGTGTCTTCCAGCCAAGTCTTGGTGTTCTGCTGTGCTTATTAGCATTTAGGTGCTTCTTCCCTTAGGTAGAAGAAAGAAGTCTCTATACTAAGGCTCCATCCAGCTGAAAAAGAGAGCCCTGATGACACCAGACTCAGTAGAGCACAAAGTACCTAGGAAGCAAGAGAATAGAGAGAGGTCAGCACACAAATAGCAGGAGGATGGTTAGGGCCAGGTTGCTAAGAAGGAGCAAGGTGTTGACACTGATCTTCCTGCGTACAAACCCAAGGGAATGCTGGGTAAACAGCTTTCTGAAAACCTATCACATTAAGCATCAGTGTAGCATTATAGTTCACTACAGAAATAACGATAGTTCACTAGGTAACCAAAATTCCAATAAAGAAGTTAACATCTGGTGTTTAATTTCTTGAGCTCTTTATATATTTGTGATATTAGTCTTCTGTAGCATGTAGGCTTGATGGAGATCTTTTCCCAGTCTGTAGGCTGTTGTTTTGTTCTATTGACAGTGTCCTTTGCCTTACAGAAGCTTTTCAGTTTCAGGAGATCCCATATATTGATTGTTTCTCTTAGAACCTGAACTGTTGGTGGTCTGTTCAGTTGTCTCCTGTGCCAATGAGTTAGAGGCTCTTCCTCACTTTTTGTTCTAGTAGATTTAGTGTGTCTGGTTTTATGTTGAGGTCTTTGGATTTTAGTTTAGTGCAAGGTGATAAATATAGGCCTACTTGCATTTTTTTACATGTAGATATCCAACTAGACCAGCACCATCTGCAGAAGATGCTATCATTTTTTACACTGTATGCAAAGACCAAGAGTCCATAGGTGTGTGGGTTTATTTCTGGGTCTTCAATTCAATTCCACTGATCCACCAGTCGGTCTCTATGCCAGTACCATGCAGTTTTTATTACTGTTGTTCTATAGTACAGCCTGAAACAGAGATGGAGATACTTCCAGAAGAGCTATTAAATTAAACACCAAACAAACCAAATTATCCAATTAAAAAGCGGGGTACACAGCTAAACAGAGAATTAGAGAATTCTCAGAAGAGAAATATCAAATAGCCAAGAAGCACTTAAAGAAATGTTCAATATCCTTAGTGATCAGGGAAATGAAAAAAAAAAAAGTGACTCTGAGATTACATCTTATACCTATCAGACTGGTTAAGATAAAAAAAAAAAAAAAAAAACCTCAAGTGATAGCAGATGCTGGCAAGGTTGTACAGAAGGGGGAACACTACTCTATTGTTGGTACAATCTTGTATAGCCAATTTGTAAATCAATTTGATATTTTCTCAGAAAATTGGGAACAGCTCTACCTCAAGACCCAGCTATACCACTCCTGGGCATATACCCAACAAGGACATTTGCTCATCTATGTTCATAATAGCTTTGTTCATAACAGCCAGAAACTGGAAACAGCTCAGATGTCCCTCAACCAAAAAAAAATGGATCAACTGTGGTACATCTACACAATTAAATACTATTCAGCTATTAAAAACAAGGATATCATGAAATTTGCAGGCAACTGATAGATCTGGAAAAAATAATCCTGATAGAAGTAACCCAGACCCAGAAAGACACACATGGTATATATTCACTTATAAGCAGATATTAGCCATATAATATACAGCATAGCCATACTACATTACACAGACCTCAAGAAGCTAAGTAACAAGGAGGATCCTAGGGAGGATGCTTAATTCTCATTCATAAGGGCAAATAGAATAGACACCAGAAGCTGTTGAGGAGAGGGAACAGGATGAGGGCCTTCCATAGATATCCTCTAAAAGACACCACCCAGAAGGGGGTCCCAGCAGGGGATCAAAGCAGATACTGAGACTCACAGTCAAATTTGGGGCAGAGCACAGGGAGTCTTGTGGAAGAGTGAAAGGATAGAAGAACCTGAAGGGGACAGGAGCTCCACAAGAAGACCAACAAAGTCAGCAAATCTGGACCCCGGGCAGGGCTGGGAGGGGGAATCTGTGGAAATTGATGCACCAACCAAGGACCATGCACGGAGAGGATTTAGACCCCCTGCTCAAATGTAGCTGATAGGCTGTTTAGTCTCCAAGTGGGTCACCTAGTAAGGGGACCAGGAGCTGTCTCTGACATGAACTCTGTTGCCTTCTCTTTAATCACTTCCCCCTGGTGAGGCAGCCTTGCCAAGCCACAGAAAAAGAGGACTCAGGCAGTCCTGAAGAGATTTGATAGTCTGGGGTCAGTTGGTAAGGGAGGAGGGCTCCCCCTTTCTGAGGACTAGGGGATGGGCATAGGGGAAAAGAGGGAGGGAAAGTGGGACAGGGATGAGACAAGGGAGGGGGCTACAATCAGAATGTAAAGCAAATAAATTTAAAAATAATTAGTTAAAAAAAAAGAAGTTACCAGATCAATCCATTGTCAAGGACCATCCTCCAGTCCTCAGCTACCCAGATCTTTCCCTGTGTGATTCCTAAGGGATGTGGTTATTGTTGGTCTCTATAGATGCTCATTGGAAAGTCTCCTTCCATCAAGTAAAACAACACCAGAAAACACAACTCAAGAATGCATAATGAGCAAAATAGAATTAGAAGTAAGAGCCATGGGAAACAGAATGAGGGCGGGAGCTTATTCGCCATTAGTAATTACACTAAATGTTCCAAACGGGATGCAGAAAAATCTACAGGGCTGGTGGGAGTGCAAAGCACTTAGGCCTGTTTGGAAAATACTTTGCAGCTCTTGATTACAGTTAAGGGCAGCCTATGACCCTGGAGTTGCCTGGGATAAATTAAAAGGCAGATACACACTAAGTTTTACATATATATGATCAAAATGGCACCATCCACACTAGGTTACAGGTGAAAACAACCCACATGTCCATGAAACTGTTTTGGTTCTGAAAGAGCTACAGTACTGATTCACACTAAGACCGAGATGACTGTGTGTGTGTGTGTGTGTTTGTGTGTGTATGCATGCGTGTGTGTGTATATGCTCACCGGTGCAGGTAGGTATGGAGACCAGAGATTGATACTGGGATGTCCTTCTTAAATCACTACCATTTTTCTTTAACCAGAAGTTCACCATCTGGCCGAGGCTGGGGGCCAGTAAGCCTGAGATCCTTCTGTCTCTGCCTCCTAGCCCTGAAGCTCCAGAAGCCATGCCTTTCACATGTGTTTTGGGGAATTGAACTTGATCCTTAGCAAGTACTTTACCCATTTCCTCATCCAGAAGATCAATCTTGAATACACTATGCTAAGTTAAAGACACTGGGCACAGAAGCTCTTCATTATATGACACCACTCATAAGCAAGAAGTCCCAATACGCAAACCCATGGAGAGCGAAACTTTGCTGAGACTCAGTGGATGGACATAGGTTATTAGAGACTACTAAAAGCATTCTGGAAACCAGATAATTGTGACAGTCACAAGACCATCTGCAAGCATGCTCAAAACTTCTTCATGGGGACTCTAAGATGTGAGTGACAGATCTGAGAAACTATTAGTTTAAGTAGGGGTAAAGGGGGAGGGAGGGAGGCCGGGAAGGAGGGAAGAAGGAAGGAAATAGCACAAGCTCCGGGATGAAGCAGGAATTTAAGGTAAGACTGGACAGACTACACCAGAATTTCTAGATCTTTTGCTTTTCTTCAAGTATCTCTTTGCTCACCAAGATTGTAACACCCCTGTCTGAACTGTTTGTTCTGATAGGTTTTTGGTCATGGAACACAGAGCACCAGTGGTCATTTTCTGCCCCAACGTGAAAAAGCTTCCTGGTCCTTTAATAAAGGGGACTTCAAGAGCAGCCATATAGGTGACAAGAAGGAAGATGCATTCTGGTATACAGATCCATGTCTCTTTGGTGTGTCCCTCTCTCTTCCCTTACACTAAAAACTAAAACATCAAGCTTTGCCCATACACTCATGAGCATATTGCTCAAGGCTGAGGCCTTCAACACTCTGTTTCCCAACAGAGACCTAAGCTCTACTCCTAAGCCTCTCACCTGAATGCAACTGGCCTTGAATGGCTGCACTACAGCTATTCCAGAAAATGCCACCACGTAGCTACTGGTCTATTCTCCGCTTTCACGTGGCAGTAGCTTCTGACTCTTGAGACAAGAGACAACATGTTCCTTCTAGAGCGCTGCCTTTCTGCTGCTGTTCCCACATAAGAAGAGCCTAGAAATAGCACTGCAACCACTAGCAGGAAAGTGACACTCTGCTCAGACTGCACAGTGGTGACAGGAGCCTTTCTGAGCCGCATCTAGTAGAACTTTGCAAAGGCCAGAAAACTCTCTGCCTGGGCTCTGAGCTAGGAGCTCAGTGTCCCTGCCCTTCAACCTCTCAGGCTGCAAAGCCCACTGACTCCCTCATTCCCAAAGCTCATGGTTACAAACCCTGTTTGCATCTGCCCTGGAAAAAATGGGCACAATTAAGGCATGGAAGTAGAAGGGAGATGGGGGAAAAGGGGACTGGTGGGAGTGGGAGGAAATGAGAGGGAAACGAGGTGAATATGATAAAAATATATTATATACCCTATGAAAATAACACAAAAGGCCCTGTTCCTATGTATAATTAACATGTGTTAATTAAGAGCATAAAAACCATGAGCTGTATACAGGATGCCTTCTACAGTGTTGAATCACTTGCATTTTTAAATGTATTCTGTTATTTATGGACAGGTGTGTGTCTGGGCATGTGCCTGCAGGTGTCTCTGGAGACTACAATGTAGCAGATTCCCCAGAGCTATAGTTAGAGGCATTGTGAGATGGGATGTCTGGACCTCTCCAAGAGCAGTAGTCACTGCTTACTACTGAGCCATCTCTCCAGCCCCTAATTTGCATTTTCAAAGATAAGTTAAGTTGTCTGTTGACACTATTAATGGTGGTAAAAGTTTTTTAAGTTATCTCTCATTTGCTGACTGAGTTAGCAAAGAGAATACACAAAGAACAATAAATTTGCTATTTTTTGAAGTGCAGGTGTCCCTCCCTTGGCTGTCTGTCATGCATATTGTAGCATTCACTTCCCAGACAAGGACTGTGTCTCTAGAGTGTCTGGCATCGCCCAACCAGTGGCATGAGCCAGTGATGAGACTGCACAGCACAGCCTGTGGGTGCTCATCCCTCTCCATGTGCCCCAATGAGCCCTGCCATTTATTCATGGCCCATCTACAGATAGCAACAGAGT